CCCCAAAACCCCAAAACCCCAAAACCCCAAAACCCCAATTTATTATATATATTTTGAAATGAACACAAATACTTTGAAGAACCATAACCAACTAGAAGATCTAATTAGGCTTAAGCAGAGGGATTCGGTAAGTTCAAACTCTATTAACTTGCAGTGAGAAATGAACGGAGCTCTAAACAAATAAATACTTGTACTTGAGGTATCAGCTTTAGCTATTTTCATAGGTTAGTGACTTGGTTCAGAGACTCTCATGGTCTATTTGACTATGACTCTGCTAGGTACACTGAAAGCGATATTTTCATCGAGAATTCATACTTTATTAACCGTGATGGCAATGATGGGATTCAACTGGCTCAATATAATGTCGAAAATGAGGGAGGAGATACTTTTAGGTCAGAATATGAGAATAGCAAGTGCCTTGCAAGTATTTCCCAGATCAGTGGAGAGTACTACCTCTTTCATAAAGCTGATAATGTTGCTTCAAATAAGGAGAAGTTATGGTGGGTTATTAAAAGCTTTAAGGTCAATAAATACGGATACAGAGGACATAAGTTAAAATAAAGGGGACAAAATTAGATTTGGAAGGTAAGATAAAGTCATTTTAACATTTTTGAGGTGTTTAAATCCATCCTTATCCCATATAGATTGGTTTACAATGTAAGGGACACTTCAATTGATCCTACTAATGAGAGAGATATGGAAAAATAAACAGAATTTTGAGGGAAACCAGATCATTGCGAATAATGCATATGGGCAGGAGATATTGGGAAATACAGAAGTTGATCTGGAATTATACCAAGTGAATGGCGAGCGAGCAGCACAAATAGTCCAAAATGTTGACCAACCAAGATTAGAGGCTTTAGAAGATTCGGTGAACTCACCTCGCTTAATAAATCACGAAACTGAAATACCTCAGAATTTAGTCACTTCGATTGCAAATAATGAGCTGAGGCTTGCTAATATGAGAATAAATACTGATAATAATGATGAGATCGCATCCTTTAATGGTACAAATAACATCAATATAAATAACTATTTTGAAAATTTATCAACAGAAAGGGGAAATGATTTGATGAATAGCAATTCTTTTGCACAAAATGCAGGCTTCATAAACGATTCTCAGACACATCTGTTGAACGATTCTCTTGATCAGAAAGTTCAGCCTCAGAACATAGCTTCTTCACAAGCTATAGTAAAAGCATCTTTTGAGGAGACCTCATCTGTGAAATCACAGAACTGTGTTTGAAAGATCTGACTTTCAGAAGAAGAGGATCCAGAAGGAGATCCTTTGATCTCTCCTTGAAAGTGCATTGGTACTGTCAAATATATGCATGTCAGCTGATTGCGTGAATGGATCAAGTCCAAATGCAAAATCTCTGAGAAAGACTACTGTACAACCTACATATGGGAAAACCTTTTCTGCGAGCTTTGCAAAATCAAGTACCCAGATAATGTAATTAAAAAGAAACGAATCCAGATAGTAGAATTTGAAATCCCTGACCAAGATGAGTATGTCCTCTTGGAGAGTTTTCAGAGACACGAACAAAAACGCGTCAGGATCCTACATGTCTTAAGGATGAATAGTGATATGCGAAGGATCAATATCGGAAGAGCCAATAAATGCGAAGCCAGGATCATTGACATCAGCATTTCAAGGCTTCACTCTCAGATCAGGTATGAGAAGGATGGCTTTTGGATACTTGACAGCAATTCCAAATTTGGCACACTTATAGGGAGGGACAAACCTTCATTATTGCAAGTGAACGAGCCTCAATATGTCCAGGTTGGGAGAAGCCTGCTTATTGCTATGGTTGAGAAACCTTGGTGCAGGTGATGTATCAAGTGCCTTGTACCAACTGACATTCAACAAGGTGCATCATTTTGTACCTGAAAGGAGAAATTTCCTAAACAATGAAGAGATATTTATGAAGAGTCTCAAGAGAATTTGATTCCTGTAGCTGGAAACCCCCGGAATAGTCATAGAGACGTTCTCAGCCAGAAAGAGAATCCCAAAATAATTCCACTACAAGAGGCGCTTGTCAGTCAAAATAGACTTAATGAGGAGACTCAAGATTCCGTCATTGTAGGACCACATTCAAAAACTCTTGCTAAAAATAGGATGAGCAACATCGAAACTGCATTTCAAGATCGGGTCGACTCGAGAATGATGAATTCAAGAACTAGGTCTCGTTATGATCTCACAAAGCCGATCATCGAACATGAAGAAGAAGCTAAAGGAACTATTGAGTTTAAGAACAGGGATACTCTGAGAGAGGAAAGCAAAGGCAGGGCCTTTGCTTCCTTTGGTCACAGCTATAGAGATCCTCTTAATGACTCTCATCAACCCTTTATCCGTGAAATTGATGAAGAATATAAACAACCTCCAGATTTAGATCAGAATATGGAAGGTGCATTACAATTACTCCATCAAATGGACGAACGACCAATAAATCGGGGCTACAGTTCTGACAGGAGATTTTCTGTTGAGGAAGAGAAGGAACCTTGTCCAGTATCTAGAGATAGAGATTCCAATAACATGAAAAGAAGCATTTCTGCTCAGAAACGTGTAAGATATACTTAATCTGAAGAGCTAAGATTACCATGATATTATATAAACTCTGAATAATGCATTCTTGCTTTAGTAACTTATTAATTCTATATCAGTTCTCAGCTTCTATTATCGATCTTCATACTTTTTGGAAACAACTATGTCATTTTCTAGTATTCAAAGTTCAAATTTCATGAACTTCTATTCATCTGATAGTTAGAATTAAAAATATTCAAGCCAGGTTCTCACTCACACTTAAATATAGATATTAGACCCATCTGAGCATGTTCAAGAGCAAATGATAAACCCCTCAGTTGATGCTCATGCACAAGAATATCTGAACAAAGACAACATATAAAAGCCTTCCTAATAAGTTATAAAACACGATCATCTTTCTACCTTCCCAAGCCTTAGACGGACACCAAAGTGATCTCCCCTATTTCACCCTATAAACCGAGTAGATATTCTTAAGCTCTTATCTATCCTCTCCCCTCTGCTACTACCCAGTGCCCCTAAAGAACACCCAAATAGCCAAGTCAGAACTCCAAAACCAGACTGACCAGATTCCCCACCAGGACTAACCCACCTTGCAAAGAGTGTGCAAGAACACTTAGAAGGTAGTTAAATTAGCCACATGCCAAAAGGATTCTCTATAGAGGTCTGACTTGTTTTGTACCTATGTACGAGAGAGATACAAGAATGAGGTTTGAATTTAGTATTTGGGATGAGAGGAGATGTTAGTTTAATCAGGCTAATCCTGTTCTGGATGCAAACAAAACATAGTACAACATTATTATTCCCTGCAATATTATGTCTTGGAAGTAACCAATTCCAAAATAGGTAGAGGTCTACTTCTGTTGATACTCTGTCTGCTAGCAATGATTAAGTTATACCTCCATTTAAAACTGGCCGAATTCAATATCTATTCTCAGGCCAGGGGTTTTGGGGTTTTGGGGTTTTGGGG